GCGAAGAAGAGAACAAGGAGCAGGTCAACGGACACTCAAAGCCCGCAGCACCTACCGGCTCCCGCAAGGTTCTTGCCGACGGAACGTACGCGACCGAGACCGCCCTTACCAGCCAGTCTGCTGTTGCTGCCAAGCTGGAGGCTGTCAAGGCTGCCCAGAAGCCTCCTCTGCGCCAGCTCATTCTCGACGGCGATTACTACCTCGCAACCGTTCTCTCCGCCACCCTCGTCAAGTTGGTTATGCGCCACGCAGAGATCTCTGCCGAGTCAGCGCGCACCAATGCTCTCCGCGGTGAGGCCATGCTTATCATGATCTCCATCATCCGCGTCGGCCAGTCGCAATTCGTCAAGGCCCCCATTGATGAGGACTCGGTTGACCGCATCATGTCTTGCGTCCGCTCGCTCGCCGAGTTCGCCCAGAACAAGGAGCTCGAGACAGTCTACCTCGACGACACCCGCAAGGCGTTCAGAGCGATGGTCCAGGCCGAGGAGAAGAAGAAGGCCGCCAAGGAGGCCGTTGAGAAGGCCAAGACGGCCATCCAGGTTGACGATGTCGTTCAGATCCGCCAGCTCTCGAAGAAGAATGCCAGCGATGGTCTGGACGAGATCGAGGTTGACCTGGAGCGCGCAACAGGTGGAGAGGCGACCGCTGAGGATCTCTCGTCTAAGCTCAGCCGTGTGGTGCAGCTTACCGGTTTCTCCGACCCTGTTTACGCCGAGGCCTACGTCAAGGTTCACCAGTTCGACATCGTTCTGGACGTCCTTCTGGTCAACCAGACGATGGAGACGCTGCAGAATCTCTCCGTCGAGTTTGCCACTCTCGGTGACTTGAAGGTCGTCGAGCGGCCGACGACACAAAACCTGGGACCTCATGACTTCCACAACGTGCAGTGCACAATCAAGGTGTCCTCTACGGACACTGGTGTCATCTTTGGCAACGTTGTCTACGACGGTGCTCACTCAACGGATACAAACGTCGTCATTCTCAACGACCTTCATGTGGACATTATGGACTACATCCAGCCGGCAACATGTACCGAGACACAGTTCCGCACGATGTGGACCGAGTTTGAGTGGGAGAATAAGGTCAACATCAACTCCAAGGCCAAGTCTCTGCGCGATTTCCTCGAGCAGCTGATGGCGGCGACCAACATGAACTGCTTGACCCCCGAGGCCAGCATGAAGGGCGACTGCCAGTTCCTGAGTGCCAACCTGTACGCTCGCAGTGTATTTGGTAAGTTTACTTTCCCTGGTTCATTGATATTCGCAGCATTTGCAAGCTAACACGATTTCTAGGCGAGGATGCTCTGGCCAACTTGAGTATCGAGAAGGAAGGCGAAGACGGACCGATTACTGGCTTCGTCAGAATAAGAAGCAGATCGCAGGGTCTGGCCCTAAGCTTGGGATCCCTCAAGGGTCTCAATAAGATTGGCTCAGCGGCATAAGAGACCTGATAAAGGGGATGAAAGGCTATATACGGAGACTTGCGGTTTGTTCCCCTGGCTATCTGAGGCCCACTATGGCTACAGGTGTAATGAAGAGCCAGGAAAGAGACACAAGTGTTGAGTTTTCGATGGTGTATGCCGGGGAAAAGTAAAGCATGTGGTGGTGGTGGCTAGCTTGTCGACAGCGTCGAGTTGAGTTGAAATGGGAATGAACAAGGGGGCGTGGGGGTTGAGAAGGAGAGACTCCCCTCTCCTTTTCTTATCTCTTTGAGGTTAGAGTAAAAAGTGCAGCCCGGTCAGGCGTCATGAGTAGGTAGAAATGAGATGTTCTTGATGTTCAACAAATGGTCTTTTTCCTGCACGCAAATTTGGGTGGGCATGTATGAACGTGTGCATGAGGTATTCAAAGTCCAAGGTGATCATCGTCTCTACTTGCCTCTCCTAAATCACACGAGGAAAACAGGCATTGCAAGACATAAAAAGGCTGAACTGATCTTGAGTAATTATTGGTATTGTACCTCTCCGCAGTGACAGCCACTCATCGCTGCCCTACACCTTGGAGAAAGGCTCGCTTGTCGAATGATCGTAATGACCGCTATTAACAACTAAGAAGAGTAAGAACCAAAACATCTGTGAAGTGCTCATGATGGAAAAAACGAACGCCTGCAATGAATTGCTGACCAACATCTTTTGTGAGGCAGTGGGTTTCCATCCTCCGGAACGCCTGATCGACTATAAGGGAATATTAAAAAAGAGTCCCGCACCATAATGAAAGGGGGTATTTATCCAGACTGAGGAAAGCCAGACCAAAGGAAAATTCATGCCGAGGTGTGTACCCAACCAAATCGAATCGAATGTGATCGGGGTGGCGCCATGCCTGCAGCCGTGTTGCGTACGCCATGGCGATGTGCGTTGTGTTTGTCGTCGTTCTTTACTGAGGAGAAGAGTGTAGATCGCGTTGCATGTCTTGAGACGACGTTCTCAGTCGGCGAACCCATGCCGTCTTAAGCCAAATGGACGCATATCTGTCCGCCTGCGATTCTCGACGATGCTATCTGTCGAAAACGAGGGCGTTGACCACATGACCCTCTGCCCAGCCCTGTTCAGCAAGGGAGAGATTGTCCTTAAGGATCTTGCCCATATAGGCGATGCGAATCTTTTTGGTGCTAGCGAGCTGGGAGCTTGTTAGATGATGTCCTCTCCAGGATAATTAGGCTGAGGCGGAACTCAAGATATGTTACTTACTCCTGACTGCTCCTGGATCTTACGAGCAACAGTCCTGACGCTATCGCTCTTGACAAAGCTGACAGTGACATCACGCGCAGTCTCGCTCAGGCGGGCTAGAACGGAGAGCTGGTCCCGGGCGTCGACGACGGCCTTACCCTTCTCTTCTCTCCGGCGGATATTGTCGTCCTCGTCCAGCTCCTCCGTAGTCTCCTCTCCTCCCGCAAGATCGTCCTTGAGGTCTCTAGTAGAGAGCGCTTCGTCGGCGCCATCAATCGTGGCATCGTCCTCTACCAAATTCGTGGGATTGGCGACAAGCCACTCAGACAGGGGATAGTAGTTGCCCAGTTGATCGTAGGCACCCTGAGCAAGATCACCCGTGGGAAGAGTGATCTCTGCCGCATTAAGAATGCCTTGTGCTGTCGCAAGACCATCGGTGCCGTCGTCAGCGGCACCCTGGCCGACGGGGTCCCAGATAACCTCGAGGGCTGCGCGCAAAGACTGCCAGACTTCTGGGCGGCCAGTAACGCGGGTATCAAAGAAGTCTCTTCGCTCGCGGTCTATTGCGACACGGGTCCAGGCGCGACCCTTAGAAGTCCAGACGTGGCGGCGCAGAGGCTTGTTGATGTGCTTGTCGAGAGGCATACTGGAGTGGCGGCCCCGACGGCGACCGGAGGAGGTCTGTGTTGTTTCGGCAGGAGAGTCATCGTCGCGATGAACTGAGGCGGGCGCAGAGTTGATAGCTCTCGCGGAGCCCGTGTTGGTCGGACCCGGGTAGGGGGCGTTAGAGCCCTGGGGACGGGAGAGACAGCAGCCCTATGCAAGAAGGATCGTCAGTCTGAGAACATGCGGGAGGTGGTCGGACGAGGCATGCAGGTATTGGCAGGAAGAGCGCTTGGGCGTATCGGAGTAGTGTCCGACGGCGGTATCATACAGAGACGAGAGGGAGAGGAAGTCAATATTTACCATATTGTCAACACTTTCAGATGGAGGATGGGGTGTTCGGTTCTGTGTTGGCGAGGGAGATTGATTCTAGCAAGCTGATGCGTCTCGTGCCATTGCCCAGGTTGTGATTTGCGGCGTGTTGGTGATGATCAAGTGTCGCCGTTGACCTCGAGATGAAAGACGAGTCAAGACAAGCTTCGGCTAGCTGTACTGAACAAAGATGTCAAAAGGTGGGCGGGAACTAATTAGTGGCTTTGCCGTAGAGAGGTCGGGTGGTGAAAACGGGGGCGATGTTGAAAGAGGAGAGGAAACGAGTATGGGCTGTTGGAGGGTCTAGACCCTTGTGTCGTTGACGTGACGATCTGACGCTGGTTGGTCGACGAGCTGCGGCTGTCGTGTATTAAAAAGGTGTGTGTGTGTGTCGTGTTGGTCCCGGACGGAGCGTGGGGAGAGCGACGGGAAGTGGTGTAGCTGAAGTCAAGAAAGGTACGTATTCGAGGGGGAGGCGTTGCGAATGGAACGAGAGCAGAGAGAAGGTGGGTGGTGAGAGGCACAGAGCAGAGGGGAGCTCCTCAAAAACGTTGCAGGCGGCAGAAGGAGGGCAGCAGAGAAGAAGATGAAAAGTGACGAGAGAAAGTGAGGGACTAGGACTGTGTTTGGGAGGGTGGGTGAGGCACCTGGGGTCCAGTGGTGACGAAAGGAAGGATTACTGCGGGAGGTAAGGTAGCAGGTGAGGTGAGTGGTGAGAGGTGAGATGGTGAAGGCAAGGTGAGTGTGGTGAGTGAGTCTCTCTTGGTACCTTATCGCTCACCTCTACGGATACCTAGGTAGGTACCTTAGTACATCTCGAGGTAAAAAATGGAAAGAATGCAGCAGATGATCAGTGGTTGCAGTTCCCCGGAAGAGGATATCGGCAGCAGGGATGGTGCTAGTCCAGGCTTGTCCAGTGGGTTGCCGCTATGAGACGTCGAAATTGGGCTTGTTTTCGCTTCCCGTCCGCTTCGCTTGCGAAGAGATAAGGCGAGAAAGCAGTGGACCTCGACTTTTCGTCCCTTTTCCCCTTTGAGCATTCCTCTTTTAAGATCCGAGGTACCTTACCTTACCTTACTCCGTACCTTGTGTATGATTTGAATGCACGCACCCGTGGGATATCTCTGGGTTCAGCATCCAAATCAAGACATGTTTTGCTCCTTCGAGTCTCCCGTTTGCACGTGGATTATCCTCTTTCAGAAATATTCGATAGACGCTAAGAGACAATGGATCGAGACATTGGATCGGCCCAGCCACATGGTTCTCTCTCCCCTAAGTGTCTCTCATATCCGTACAGACACACAAACTCCCTTCAGTGTCCACAGCTATTTTGTTTCTGTAAGTCCAGCTCTTCAAGGTTTGGTCACAAGTGCCTTGGCGAGATCCATCCGAAAAGTCGGCCCAGCACAGGGTCCTCCCCAGCATTCCTCAGCCCAGCCCACTCGCTTCATGCCGCAAGACTCCTCCCCCCTCCATCGGCCTTCTTTTTCACCCTCGTGCTCTACATACACTACGATTGGCCCTCAGTGTTGGTTGTGAGGGGATCCGTCCAAGGTTCTGCTGAGCCACCATGAACTGAACGCCTGATCAATAAACACGGACAGCGGCCAACTGCATACCGATGGCTTATAGCAGGCGCCTCTACCGGCACATCTCGATCATGCACGCGAGTTAGAGACACCATCCGTGAAGGCAATTCACTAATCACTTCAACTTTTCCTAGTAGTATTCGTAGAGGTCATAGCGGTGCTCAAATTGGCGCTTCTAGAATGGATATCGACCGGGGCCCGTCTCGTATTACTACGTACACCAATTGAAACGCCATTGCCGAGATCCCGTTACCTGACTCCAGCGCCAATTTGGAAGTTTGCCTTAGTAGCACATAAGATCTGCGTCTCCATCGCAACACCAGATCTGACACCTCAATTTGCGTCCCAGGCTTAGATGCATTTCATCGCGTCATGCCCCCTCCGACCTGACAATCAACATGTGCGCCGTGCACGAGTTAGACGTCAGGAAGGCCATGCTTTATGTCCCAATCCAGGGCATCCCCCCTTGACGTCCCGAGTTGTCCGCCTCTTCAGACGAACCGGGCGCACCGGCCATCCCTGAAGATCCAAATTGTGGGCTCTTTGTAGGCTTGATGCTTCATCAACCCACGGAGCCTCCGTGTCATGCCGTCCCGGCACCTGACCCAGTCTTCCTTGCCCGCTGTCTCCCGGTATTCTCGAACTGGGCCCATTTTTGAAGCCAGACTTCCGTCCGTACCTATCAGCAAGGTTGGAGGTAAGCTCTGTAAAAGCCCGATGCCGATGACGTTGGCATCTTTCGTCATTGACGGCTCCTTGACTTCCACAAATCCCGCTACCGCCGACAGTATGTGGCACTTCGCGGCTAGCATCGAATTGGTATCCGACCTTCCGACAAACCAGAAGCTAGAAACGCGATCGAATCCAGACAGATATCATTGATACTGAACGACTACCACAGGAACTGGCGACAATTCTTGCTGCCGCAAAGACACGGAACCATGTCGCCTTGCTTGCTCTTGTCCTTCGCATCAACAGCATCGTCGCTGACACCGTCGACGTAGTCGAACGTGAGCTGCTCTCCTCGGGGAATGTCGCGAAGCGCAAAGAAGGCAAGGTCGTGAATGTGCTTGTCGGCGTGGTCTCCCACGCGCGCAAAGATACGCAAATTCGGTTCGCAGGAGTGATTGATGAAGCGAGTCGGGCCGGACATGAATTCGCCATCTATCTCGAGCGGGGGCCCTTGCAGGCGCATGTCAGGGGAGTCTTCATCCGTGAACTTGTCGAGTGCGAAAAGGTACACGTCCTTTTGTTGCGCAATATTCGACGTATCCCGTCGGCGTTGGGCTTCCTGTGGTGTAATGATCTCGCCAATGTAGTTATCGACGAACTGTCCTCGTCGAATGTCGAGCAACGATCGAACACCTATTCTCATAGAGTAAGCTTCTCTCCAGCATGGCAGCAGCCTCTCAGCTCAACTCACCCCAGCCCGTCTTCTCAGTCCGGAAAATCTGAAGAGGAACCTGACGACCTCTCTCGACCACCCTGTTAGGACAGGTCACATCGCATGCGCAGCCTTCGTGGCACTCGTAAATGGGCCGCGTCGAGCCCAGGAATTTTGACCGCAGCAACCCAGCTTTGACGCCGTGCATATGGTACATGTAGGCCTTCTTTCTCGCTTCGTCCTCGTCATCTGAGTCGTCTTCTTGCTCCTGCAGGCAGAGACAGCCCGCATACTGGCATTCTTCCTCGTCTTCACATTCGCATCCGCTTCGGAAACTATCCTCTGCGGCTTGTACCCCGTGGCCGAGCTTTGAGTGCTGTAGAAATCGAAAGTTGGGCGGTATTATTTCGTCGTCGACCTCGTTTACGATAGTGATTGGGTATTGTTTATGGTTCGGAAATGCTCGAATCTGGCACCATTGGCAGTCCAGCTTTTCTCTCTCAATGGCCTGCAGTATATTCCAGTCAGAAAAAGCTCCCATCGTGTAGCAGTGTCACATAAATGATCGGGAAAGTGCATTGCGTTCGTAGGACTGTGGGATACTCTACTCTGAGGGCGGTCTTGGTCGCGCCAGGCTTCGGAGCGCCATGGTGGAAGAAGTGGCGCTCAGTTGCTGCCTCCATGTTATGCGCTGTTATGTATTCACGATGGCTCGGAAACGTTGAAAGGCATCCCGAGAGTGACGGAGAGGGAATATGTAAGTAGGTGGAGGTGTTCGCAGCTTATCCATGGTCGGAGCTGGAACCGCGGGGCGACTTAACCATCGGCGGCAGGAACCACCGACCACTTTACGCGACGCGTCCAAGCTCTCTGGACTGCTGACTCAGCCGCCAATCTGGTGGGGCCGCACTCGGCGGTCCTCTCCGGCCTGGAACCTTCTTCTCCCTTCTCTCAACTATTCATTTCTACAACTTTACCTTTCCCCAGGACAGTCACGATGCCTTATCAAACATGATGGTCTACGAACATACCAACAAGGCGACATATCAAAGAGAATGACAAAACTCGACGCATGAAAGTGGACTGCTATTCTCTAGACGACTTACACATTCCTGGGCTTGTTCTTACACTGAGGCTTGAACGTAGACCCAAGCTCGCCCCATTTGATATTGCTGAACGTCACAACCGGGTTCGGCTCAACCTTGACAACGTTCTCCGGGAATCCTTCCGTCTCATTGCATGGCCCGGCTTCCGGCGCACCGTCCAGCCACCTCATCCCACCGCCGGCATCCCACCAGATGCTAAACGCAAGCACCACGCCCCGATCAAACGACTCGCCCATCTCCCGGTGCGCCCCGAGATCCATGAACCGCCGCGAGCCCGTCGCCGCGCAGAACTCATCGTTGAGGTAGTTGACCTGCGGAAGATCAGTGTTGTTGACGACCTCGCTGCGGATCAGGTGGCCGTCTTGGATGTAGAGGCGGTGGATCTCGGTGAGGACGCCGGCTTCGTTGGCGGGGAACTGTGTGATGACTGTGAAGGGACGCGTGGTGTCGACATCGAACCCTGAGCCGCGGCCGTAGAAGTCATCTTGGTTGACTCTGTTTCTAGGGTTAGGTTCTGTTCAATACTATTGGGCTGCAAAGCTGGTCACTGACCGGTACGGGTTCCAGGCACAGCCGTTCTTGTCGCAGATGCCTTCAAAGGCACAGTCTTCGCCCTCGCAGAGATAGACACCAGTCTGGTTGCACGGGTGCGGCGCCAGATGAGCAGAACGCGAGTTGGCCTCCCAGATGTCCTGTGATGGCACGTTAGTCGCTTCTTGAGTACCCACCAAGGACAGGCAACTCACCATCTCATTGCAGCATGCACCGTATCCTTCAATGTTGGCTTCACCGTTGATGAACGGCGTAGTATAGCACTGGGCGTCGCAGTACCCCGTGCCGTGACGAGCGCCACCAGTGTTGAGCGCGCTCTTGCCACCGTCGGCCTCCATCTCAGAGGTATACAGGGCGCTATTCATGCCACACGGCAACTTCGATACATCGACGTCAAACGTGAACTCCTTGCCCGTCAGGTGCATCATCTCATATTGCTCCTTGGAAGGGTCAAGAAGATACACGCGCGGAGACACCTGCACGCCGTCCTTGAGCTGGTACATGGTCATGGCGCCGCCGTTCGTCGTGACGCCGACGCGGCTGTAGTCGTCGAGACCTTCCTGGACACAGTTCTCGGCGCAGGCCTCCTTGGTTGGGCACGCCGTCTCGTTGGGCGGGCTGCCCCAGGAGCCACAGCTTCCACCGCCGTTGGCCTGGTAGACGTTGTGCGCGAGGGAGTCGAGGACGATGAAATTGTTGACTTCAGTGCAGCCGCCGGCCTTGGTACAGCGCCAGGTCGTGAGCGGGGGGTGGTTCTCTTCGGGCCCAATCTGACGCTGGGCCGCTGCCAGGCCTATGAAGAGAGTGGCAAGGCCCAAGCGGGACAGAGAAGACGCCATCATGACTGGGAAGCCGTGATGAGTTCCTGAAAAGAGATTATTGCGACGATTGCGCCGGTAGACAGAACAGCGCGCGCCTCGACCAAACAATCGGGAGAAGGAGGTCTTCATATATGTTCAGACATCTCCGTCCAACTTAACCATGGCTGTCGGGTCTCTTCCCGTTTACCCATTATGAACTCGCTCAGGGGTGCATTGGCAACGGAACGCGCTCTCCAGGGAGCCAAATTTCCGTGATTGAGCTCTATTCCTTCTTCCTGTCCCGTCTTGTTCCTCTTGAGGCGAAGGAAGGTCACCCTCCGAAGCCTTTGTCTGGCTGTCTGGGCGCTGTGACATTGATTGCCGACAAGGGTTCGTAGCTTTGATTCAAAGGTTATCCGCCACGAGGTAAGTTGAAAACAGGCCTAGTGCCATGTTAAATGTGCTTGGGTAGTGAAACGTTCATTATCCTCCAGCTCCCTTCCCTCGTGGCTTCACGGTAGAACGGGCCAGGAACCGTGCATGGGGGGAAGATCTGGCCGCCCGCTTGGATGCGACTCTACCCTCCCCTTCCATCTTTGTGCAGATGAACCTGCATTTGGTAGATTGCTCGACTGGATGAATCATCCAGTCAGGTCGCCCTTTAGAAGTCCGTCGATTAGCCGACCACTGTTCCTGGCAGAGGCCGCATTTACACCAGTCTTTCAGTCATTTTGCTCATGGTGTTTGCTAGACGATGGAGATGAGCAGAAAGCGGAGAGAATCATAATTAAGGACGGCGGCTTCCGCTCGACTATTTCTCCGCGTGAAGCAATTACAGGGGTGTTCGACCAGGGTTTAGTGAAGCGATCCATCTTGAACAGTCAAAGAGGGGGGGATAGCTCTTCCGGCTCGGATTCTGGCCCCCTGGGGTGGATGCCAAGCTATTCTGCGCCCGTAGCAGAGAGGCATGCTACGCAACCTATTTCTCGCCTTAAGTCTTCAGTCTTGATGTTGTTATAGGTTATAGAATCCATAAGCTCGGCCTGAGATCGGAAATATTGGACATCATCTGTGGCCTCATTGTGGAGATGTCAAATATCGCTATCACCAGCGCCAGGCAGCAAGATGTTGTC